CAACTCTCAACATAAATTGACTGAAGCCTAAGACATTGAAGACACAGGTTCTGCCCTGGCTGGTGTAGCTCTGTGGATTGAGGGTGGGCCGCGAACCAAAGGATCGCCAGTTCAATTCCCAGGCAAGGCACATGCCTGGGTTGTGGGCCAGCTTCCCAGTGGGGGCCATGTGAGAGGCAACCACACATTGATGTTTCTCTCTCTCTCTCTCTCTCTCTCTCTCTCTCTCTCTCTTTCTCCCTCCCTTCCCATCTCTCTGAAAATAAATAAAATCTTAAAAAAAAAAGACACAGGTACTTCAGCTGGGTTAATCCTTCCAGGGCCCTCAGGTCTCTGCCTATGTTCCTGTCCTTCCCTGCCCAAAGCTAGAAGCCCAGCAAACCTGCCAGCTAGAGACACACAGTTTACGATAATATATCCTCTTTCACCAAAGACTCTATTTGGAGGCACTGGGATCTGCAATGTGTGCCCATGAAAAAAAAATCCACATATGACCCATGTTGTTTGAAGATCTCTGGGGAATATGATAAGAGTCTCTGGGAAGTATTTTTAACACAGTGGACTGGGGCCAGAAAGGCTCTAGGCGTGAGCATGCATTGAATGAGGAGGCACAGCCCCAAGAATAGAGCCACTCCCCAGCAGAGCCTTGCCAGTAATGGAGACTCAAACAATATTGGGCTCATCTAAAAGACATATCCCCCTCCTCCTTAACCCATACCTGTCAGCTCCAAGAGACAGCCAATACTATGATCATCTCTGCTTCCCTCCTATGTCCCTGAAGACCTTGAGGACAGGGCTTACAATGAACGCTAACATCTGCCTCAAATTTCTTTTTTGTTTCCTTATAATCTGATGTGTCATGCCACCTGTTTTGTACTTTTATTTTGGGAACACAGCCCTGCCCATTTATTTGCATATTGCCTATAGCTGCTTCCTCACTAGCAGGGCCGATGTAAGTAAGTCCTCACAACAGAGGCCGTGTGACCCAAAGAGCCAAAAATAATCACTATCTGGCTGTTATAGGAAAAAAAGTTTGCTGGCTCCTATTGATAATCACATGGGAATCGATATTAACTACGTGATATGATGGATGTGTTAACTGACTTGATTGCGGTAACCATTTGACAATCTATTCATGAATCAAATCACCAGATTGCATACCTTAAATGTATAGCATTTCATTTGTCTGTTCTACCTCAGTAAAGCTGGAAAAAAACAGGAATTTGTTTGTTTCACTAAATCTCTCTGATATCTATCTGTTTTAGGAACACGCAAGGACTTATAAAGCCAAAGGCCTAAAAATAGCTGACCACATCTGAAGCCTTGGAAATTATTTCTCATTATGATTTCCTAGCAATCAGAGACTGCACTGCCTACACACTGTTAAGAGGACTGTTAAGAACTCTAACGTGTTATTTCATGTGCTCTTCACAATCATAACACATATTAGTTATTCTATTTTTACAGAACTTAAGTAACTTGAACAAGAACAAGTTCATACAGCCCAGCACTGGTGAAAGCAGAATACATATTGTATGGTAATCCATTACACAAGCCTTCTGAAATTCTTACGTGCCGAGAAATGACTTGGTGGACCTTATTAAAATGAAGATTCTTAGTCAGGAGGACTGCGGTGGGGCCCAAGATTCTGCCTTTTTCACAAATTCCCAGTATGGCTTTCAGACCATACTGAGTAGCAAAGCAGTCATCATATTGCACCGTGTTGAATGGATTTAATTGAAAAACATTCCACCTTTCTGACTAGATCCAAGCCTGAATGAAAGAATCACTGAACAGACTTGGAAGGAACAATTTAATATTAGGAGCAGTAAGAACAGCTAACATTTACTAACACACTATTACGTGCTCTTGATGTGAATCGTCTCATTTTACTCTCACAACCACCCTAGGAGATGAATATAATTTTAACCCCATTTTACAACAGAGGAAACTGAGGCACAGACCAGTTAGGTAACTTACACAATGTCATACAATTGGTAAGTAGAAATGTTGAAACTCCAGTTTCAGTCTACATAGTACAGTCCTCTCTTTATGATCACTAGACAATACTACACCTTATTGCATGTGTTTAGTTACACAATGATGATGATGATTGCTGGCCCCATCTGTGAGTGGGTTGTCAGACCCCGTCTTTCCCACACACTCCTACCTGGGCTCACCAAAAGCCGACTCTTCCACAAGTTCTGATCACGGCATGAAATTTATTAGCAACCTTGGCCCACTTTCCTGTGGACCAGAATCAGCCTTACTGTCATCAACATACATAGGCTCTGCCTGACATTGGCCCCACCTCATTCATGGCCAAACGGTCTATCCAACAAGTTTTCATCTTGTTCCCTTCTGCCCAAGTCTCCAAACTTACATTGGCAACAAACTCCTAACCTGAACAATAGCCTGCTTGGGGGTGTTCCTGACACCTCACCCATTACTCATCTTTGAGAGTTGAATGATCCTACAAAACTCTCTGACTATGAAGTTATCTGGACCCACAATGGACTCTCATACCAGAAACCTTGTACTAACAGCGGTGTGATTTATAGCAACAGGGTTAGAACACCTTCATTTACCATAACACTGGACCTGGTCTAAGACAAACATGCTCTTCGGACTTTGCACATTAGAAAGGCTGCCTATCTTTCGGAGTCATCCCCCAAGCTAGATTCTCTCACCTTCATCTCCTTTCTCTCACCTGCTCCGTTTCCCCACCAGCCCATCTTTGAGGTCTCCAACCTGTCTGAGCCAAGGCCTGCAAACCGCAAACATTTTCCAGGTTTCAACTCAGAGCTGACACCCATGAAGTCTGTACCATTCCAAAAAGAGACTTCTCATATCAAAGTGAGATGGTCTAGAAAATACCACTTGATGTTCTCCCTGAATGATCTGTAAATAGCCACACACACACGTTAATTAATTTTCTGCCATTCTTCACTGGGGTTGCAATCTTTTTCAGCAAATTGAGACAGAGACTCCATAATGAGAACGAAACTATACCAAACACCATTTCAGCAAAAATTGAAAAATCAAAACCCATAATATTTCTGAAGTAACAACTATGTTGAAAAGAGTAAATGCCATCAAATGCATCTATTACTCAAGTGCTATAATGAGACTGACCGAAAAACAAGTTGCCAAATTAATCCCCCCTTAAAGACTGTTGCCTTTTCTTCCATTGCTTTTCTACTGCTATCATTTAGGAACATAAATACACTCCCAAAGAGAAGCTTCGGGAGTTGGTAACACTGTCATTTGTGTTTCTCTTCCCTTAAAACGATTCTTACTGAAGACTTAAGTCACCTGCTATCTCCCTCAGTAGTAATGCACACTGCAAAGAATTTAGCATAAGCCCTTGTCCCAAATCCTCAGTTTGAATGGTTTTTATCAACTACAAGCAGTTCCAAAGCCCCTGAGGAAGGCAATAAAAACTTCTGTCACACCGGATTGCCTTTTTTATCCCAGATTATCACAACTGAATATGTTTATTGGGAATGGTTTCCGTTTCGTGCCTTCCCCATGTTTCCCCAGCCTATTGTTAATAGTCCTGCAGTGCAGTAAGGAAATCTGTTCCAATTTGCTGCGTGCAGCTCAAGAGTCAGCTGTGTGACCTTGGAGAAAATAACAAATACCTGTGCCTCAGTTTGCTTACTTGTAAACTGTATTGCTGTTGGAGGGGGAAATTCAGTGATGGGATTACATGACATATAAGAAAGGGAACCAAGTATTTAGAAATGTAAGATTCATACAGTTCCGTGTATTAGTTATTTTGACAATTTGTTTAGATATAATTCACATACCAGGCTATTTATGTATTTACAGGGAACAATTCAATGGTTTTCAGCATATTTACAGTTTTGAAGCAATTGCCATCCTTTTAGAACAATTCATTACCCCAAAAGAAACTCTGTAACAGTCACTACCCATTACCCCTCTCACTTTGCTCCCAAGTCCACTTCATCAGCCGCTTTCTCTATGTGTATTTGCCTATTCTGCACATTTCATATAAATGGAATAATAAAATAGTGGTCTTTTGTGACTGACTACTTTCACTTCACATAAAGTTTTCCAGGAAGATCTATATTATACCATTTATCAATACCTCATTTCTTTTTTTGCTGAATAGTAATCCAGTGTATGAATTCAACACATTTTATTTATGCATTCATTAGTGCATGAGAATTTGGGTTATGTTTCTTTTTTGACTACCATTAATACTGCTGCCACTACATCTATGCATGAACTTTTGTGTGAACATGTTTTTATTTGTCTTGAACAGTTACCTAAGAGTGGAATTGCTAGGTCATATGGTAACTTTACTGATTTCTTTTTATGGTAATTTCATGTTTAATATTTAGAAAAACTGTCCAAATGTTTTCCAAAGTGACTGCACTATTTTACATTCCTACTAACACTTTACGAGGGTTCAGATTTCTCCATCACACCCTTACCCACACTTGTTACCGGCTGCCTTTTTCCTTATGGCCATCCTAGCTGATGCGAAGTACTATCTCACTGTGGACTTGATTTCCATTACCCTTAAGCCCAAGACTTTTGAGCATCTTTTCATGTGTGCTTTTCCTGTAGATTAGTTGAAATCTTTCTAGAATTCCATCTTAATTTACCTTTAGTGCTTTTGAGTGCATTATTTTATGGCTTTTTGGTGGTTCCTCTGGGTATACTATTATACATCGATGATGTATCACAGTCTACTGGTATTGTGATGGGGGTGGAGGACCCCCAAAATGGAATTGATAAAAGAGTGTCTTTATTCTTACGTTTAAACTTCATTTGCCTTCAAAGCACTCTCCATTTGATGCAATATCCCTATCAAGACATGTTTTCCACCACTCAAGAGTTTTTGAATGCATCCATTTTGATACCTTTTAGTGCTTCTGCCATTTTTTGTTTCCCCACTTCTACACTGGCAAAATGCTTTCCTTTTAGGACTTTTTCATCCATGGAACCAGATCAGGTAAATAGGGAGGATGGGGTATGGGGGGCATCAACCCATTTTTGGTCAAAAACTGCTGAACAGGGAGGTAGGTTTTGCTGGAGTGGGGGGGGGAATGCAGACAACTGTAATTGAACAACAAAAAAATAATTAAAAAAATAAAATCACGGAAGTGATAAAACAAAAACAACAAGAAAAATACTGCTGAACACACCACATAGTGTGAATAGGTTCACCTGTAAATCACCCATCATGAAATGGGAAACAACGTTAAAGAGTCTTCAAAAAAATTTTCACTGAAGCCAAACACAGCCTCTCACAACAACACCAGCTGGTACAGATGGGCTCCTAGAACACTTATCTAGAAGGAGAAGTCTGTATTACAACAGGACCACCCTCCAGAAGATAAATTCCACTTCTTTGGGTCCACCTCGTATGTTACAGTTTGATGAAGTATAGAAACTTTACCTTTTATATGCCCCTTTCCCCTCTCCAATTATAGTTGTTTTAACTATTATCTCTACTCATACTAAAACCATAGTAGACATTGTTATAATTTTGCTTCAATGGTCAAACATAATTTAGAAAAGTCAAGAAGAGAAAAATACTTTGTTGTATTTACCCATATTTTGCTTAACCTTTCTGATATTGCAAAGTTCCTTCTTATATCACTCCCTTTCTACTTAGAAAATGTGCTATAGCCATTGTTTTAGGTTAGTTCTGCTACTAATAAATTATCTTCATTTTTCATTCAATAATATTTTGACCTTCATTTCATTTCTGAAGGTATTTTCTCAGAATATGGGATTCTGGGTTTATCGCAATTTTCATTCAGCATTTCAAAAATATTATGCCACTTCTGGTCTTTTGGTTTAAAAGACCAGGCTTTTCTTGGGGCTTTATTTTTGACCGTGCCTGTGGGTGCTTCTGAGCTGCAAGCTTCTCCAGCACCCAATTCATGAAAATATAAGGGACACAAAAAGAAACCCAAAGAACTCACCATTTTGTCATTTCCTCAAGTTCCAAAGTGCTTCGCTGGTTCGCCTTCTTCTCTCCAGATTTTAGAGCCTGCTTCTTTATTTTATATGTAAAATAAATAAGCAGGATGAATAGGGGGAAATGTACTTCCACCACCTGGTCCAGCATCACAAGTCTCTCCTTTCTGCATTTAAAAAAAATACGGCCACTAGAAAATTTCAACCTGCATCTGTAACCCCTCATATTCCCATTGGATAGAGCTTCTGTACACCTTAGCGTTCTCACTTACAAATGAGAGGGTGAAGAAGAGACACTCTCCAAAGTCAATCCTTTCCACCTCTAAAATCCCCTGTGTCTAAGGATTATTGTTTGGCTTCTGTGTAGAATGCAAATGATGCAGATAATACTGTTGTTCTTTCCACTTACCTACATCATAGCTATCAGAAATGAAATAGTCTTGAAAAGCCCTTCAGATAACTCAAAATAGAGCCAAGAGATAATTGAAGGTCATTATTTTTTTTAAACGAATGTCAGAAGGTTAAAATTTCCATAGGAAATAGTTGGTAAGCAAGAACTTCCCCAAAGGTTGCTTATTGCAGGTGCTAATCAGCTCACCTGCTATATATATATATATATATATATATATATATATATATATATATATATATATATATTACAGTTTGTGCTGAAAGGAGAATTAATTACCTCAATAGCCTCACTTTTTTATATGCCTAAAAAATGCATCCCCCAAGTCAGTGGAGAATAAACTAAATTTGATAGAAAAGGTTTAATGGGTAGCTAAAAATAGCACTCTAATCTTCCTGAAAGAACTCCCAGTACTCCCCTCTCCCTCCTAGAAAGACTTTCTTTTTCTGAAACTACTAATGAATGGTTCTTGTTTCCTTGTGATTCTCTCCCTCATCCTATCCTCCCACATATTTTGGTTTTTTTCCCTCCCACACATTTTGAAAGACTGTTAAAGCTCATTTCCTTCCAATATTCATGATAATTAGTCTTGAGATCTATTGGCTCCTTCACAGAATAATCCTAGTAATGTTGCCAGGAAATCCTGATTTCCTAGAAGCCTTGTTTAAAAAGTAAGAGGGTGCCTTTCAGCTTTCAGTACTAGATGTAAAGTTCTCTTCCTGGCATACAAAGTCCCCCAGTGGTCCAGTAGTCTCTCATCCCGATCGCTTCAATTGCAATAACATGTTCCCTCACTACTCAACAAAAAGGGCCTTCCTGAAAGTCAATGATGATTTCCTTTCCCCACATTCAGTAGTCCATTCACCAGACATTCTCAATGTGTTCTCTTCCCTCATTTCGTAGTATAATGCTCTCTTTTGGTTCTATTAAATATTTCTTGTTTCTTCACTTGGCCTCCTAACACCTTCTTCTTATCTAATAACATGAATTCCCTGGTTCCTTAAGCTGTTCTTAAAGTTCTCTTTCGTTACTCTATTTCGTGGAAAGAATATCCATTCTCAGTTTCAACTACAGCTCCTATGCTGATTACGCCCATATCTTGCTCCTGTGTGCTCATCTGAACTACACAGTCCCAAATCTCCAGTCCTACTTAACATTTCTACTTGTATGTCCCCAGGACACCGCAAACCGGGTCTGTGTGAAACCAAACTCTTCTTGCCTTACAAATCACCTCTCCTCCAACTTTCTTGTCAAATGGCTCCAAGATTCTTTGCCTCAATGAGTCTCCAAACATGTAAACTTGAGAGAGCTCTGATTAAACTCTCCTTTCATTCATACCATCTCCAGAATCAGGCACCAAACCCAGCATGGTTTCCCCCACAAAGAGCGGAGGGAAACAGTGGTGTAGTGGAGGGGGAAAGGCCTTGGGGCGGATTAGACTTGTGTTTAAATTTAGCTAAATTATTTCCTATACTTTTGCATGAACTTAGATATATTATGCAACATCTATCAGTTTCAGTGTTTTCACATGAAGAAGGAAAAAAATACTTACATGGAGCTGTGTGATGATTAAATGAAATAATTTGATAATTGCATCTTAAATGTAAGTCATGCGGTTGGACTAAAACACATGTTCATTGCTACTTGGGTCCCTTCTCTTCCTAGCTGTTCCTTTCTCTGAGTTACCCCTGCCACAGTGTTGAAGTCTCTCAGTCTAATGGACTTAAAATATGACACACCCAGCCCCCATTCTCTACTTCCCTGCATCCTGCTTTCTTCTTATGGACCCGCTTCCCTAATGAATACTGACAGTGTCCGCTGACTGCTTTACTCAAGGTCCAGTCCCTTTCCTTGGTATATAAATTTGAAACTTCTTCCATTGTCTTTAAGGTTCCTGATGGTTCCTTTTTTGTTTCCCCTGAGCCAAACTATTTTTCTGCATTTCCCCTTTCTCCATAATCTGGATCTTTTGCCCCCGTCCTCCAGACTGCCCTCATCTCCTTCCCAAGGCCACTCTGGATTCTTTCCTGCAAATAGTAACATCCTTCTGCCTCTAACTTCACACCTCCTAGTGACAGATCAGACTTACAACCCTTACAGGTCTGTGCCTCAACTCTCCAGCCTCCCAGACCTCCCTCTGGCCCTTCTTGCCTGCCATCCTGATTAACACCTAAAAGCATTCCGAATTGTGTGTAATTTCTACTGTGCTACATGAGGGCTTTTAATTCCTTTGGGTTCACATACCAGTAATATATCAAAACCAAATCTGGTTACTGGCATTAGTTTTATTTCTTTTGCCATAATAAAGATCTTTGAAAATCATTCCTAATCTTCATTTCATTTTTAAAAGACTATTTTACGAAATAGAAGAGCATGGTGTTAGAATTGAAAAGCTCAAATTGAATAAATTTACACTCATTTTTTGAAAATTCTTTTATTATTCTTATCCTTCTTCTTTTTTTCTTTTTTCATTTTGATGCAGACCAGAAGAAACTATCAGGGAAATTCTTAGACATGCATTTGGCAACTTCCGTAACTGTCTCCATATACCTATTATTTCTGTAACATGTGTAATTGGGACTTACAGACTCAACTATGAACCAAGTAGTATAATGATGTGTTTGTGCCTGTGCGTATGACATACATACCAGTGTGTCACTCTACAGATAGCAGAGCCAAGACATCAGAAGCTTGAAACCTGCTGCAAAAATCCACAACCCAAGTTTAATCATGAGAAACTACATCAGGCATACGTAATTTAAGGGACATTATATACAAGATACCTGACAATTACTCCTCAAAACTGGCAAGGTTTTGAAAAGGAAAGAAAGATTGAGAAACTGTTACAATTCATACATGACAACTAAATGCAATGTCAAACAATGGATCCTGGAACACAAAAATACATTAATGTAAAACTGGTGGTATAAAGTCTAGACATTACTTAATATTGATGCACCAATGTTGATTTTTTTATCTGACAAATATACCATAAGATTGAAGAAAACAAACTGGTTGAATAGCAGCATTGGGAACCCTGGCTGGTATAGCTCAGTGGATTGAGCGTGGGCCTATGAACCAAAGGGTCACTGGTTTGATTCCCAGTCAGGGCACATGCTTGGGCTGCAGGCCAGTTCCCACCAGGGGACGCATGAGAGGCAACCATACATTGATGTTTCTCTCCCTCTCTCCTTCCCTTCCCCTCTAAAGATAAATAAATACAATCTTTTTTTTTTAAGTTTCATTAAAATATTAAAGAGATCCTATTGGCAAATTTCTTGGGAAACTTTGGGTTTAATAATGCCCAACTGAGTTTCTCAATTCCTGTAACTATCAGAGTTTTTTTGAGATACCAAATATGCATTGTGACTGTAACAAAAGAAATGTAGGATATCATATTTCCCAACATCTTTGGTCAGCAACCTTTCTTTCTTCAAAAACTAGTTTTCCAAAGGAGTTCCCATAAAGCTATCAGCTGATTTCTCAAAAGAAACCTTACAGGCAAGAAGGGGCTGGAAAGAAGTATTCCAAGTCATGAAAGGCAAGGACCTACATCCAAGATGACTCTATCCAATGGAAGGGCAGATAAAGTGCTTCCCAGACAAGGTCAAGTTAAAGGAGTTCACCATCACCAAGCCCTTATTATATGAAACACTAAAGGGATCTATCTAAGAAAAAGAAGATCAAAACTATGAACAGTAAAATGACAACAAACTCACAGGTATTCAACAACTGAACTTAAGAAACAAAAACTAAGCAAACAATTAGAACAAGAACAGAACCACAGAAATGGAAATCACAACAAGGGCTACTGGGGTGGGGGGAGGAAAAATGGAGGGGAAAGGTACAGGGAATAGCAAGCATAACTGGTAGGCATAAAATAGACAGGGGGAGCAGGTTAAGAATAGTATAGGAAACAGAGAAGCCAAAGAACTTATATGTAAGACCCATGAACATGAACTAATGGGGGAGTGCTGGAGGATGGGGAGGCACACAGTGGAGGGGGGAGAAAGGGGAGAAAAAATTGGGACAACTGTAATAGCATAATCAATAAAATGTACTTTTAAAAAAGTTTAAAAAGCAGTTTTCCAGAAAAATGCTGATACAGAGGTTTTTCCCAGTGTTTCACAGACTTCTACCCAATATCTTGTTTAAATTTTAATCAGCAACTTTTGCTGAAGAAAGATGCCCTGAACATGCAACTGGCAAGAGACTTAAAACTGGAAGATACTCTGATGAATGAGAAAATCAGCATTTAAGTTATATTAATAGGCTACTTCAAGGCCTGGCTGTGTGGCTCGGTGGACAAAGTGCCAACCTGTGAACCAAAGGGTCACCGGTTCCATTCCCAGTCAGGGCACATGCCTGGGTTGCAGGCCAGGTCCCCAGTGGGGGTCACATGAGATGCAACCACACATTGATACTTCTGTCCCTCTCTTTCTCTCTCCCTCCCCTTATCTCTAAAAATAAATAAAATCTTTTAAAAAATAGGCAACCTCAGTTGACCAAACTTAACAGGATGAATATAAAATGATAAATACATAGCCTACTTTTATTTATACAAAGTAAAAATAAAAAATCAACCATGTACATATAGGATGAGGAAGAATAGACTCAAGTGCCTATCATGTTCCTCTGAGGAGCTGTGTGTTATGTCCAGAGGTAAAGTTAGTAGATCTGTTATGCTTAGTAAAGAGGACCTTTATAGTCAAGTTAAGCCCATCTCTGAAGATTTCTTTTGTTTAATTCTATGTGCCGTATCACAAAAGATGCTCAATGAGTCATTTCTAAAGGAGAAGGGACAGGATGCAGTTCATCTCAGAAAACCATATCATATCAAGAAATGTTTGTTAAAAGTAGGAATTTAACCCTGATGAACACAAAGGGGATGTGACACTGGCCCTAACATATATAAGGATACAAAGAGAATCAAACATATTACATAAAAGTGCAACTTTAGAAGTCAGAAGGAGGACCTAAGGAGGCATGCTTTAGTTCAACAGCATCTTTGTAACCATTAAAGTGCCTCATAAAGGAACAGATGTCCTTGAAGCAAAGTGAACTCCTAGCCTCTTGGATTGTTTAAATAGAAGCTGGATATCCACTAGCTCAGGCTGCTGACGAGATGTCTTCTACATTGCACCTAATGTAGAAAACATCTTGACTTGTACATACATGACTTGTATGTATCCTTCCAGTCCTAAGATCTGTGAATCTATAAAACTACAAGGAAGGGAAAAAATTAAGAGGTACTGAGAAAATTAGCAAACTATTGAAAACACTTCCTTGGGTACTTTAGACTCACTGGGCTTCTCTTTTAAACAGCTTCCCTGAAACAATATCTAGAAACTGTCTGAAAAAATGCTGGAGTTTAGCCAAAGAATCAGTGCCAAAGTGCCAGCCCCAAGTGTGTACCTAACAGACTTCTGATGATATAATTTAGGTTACAGTAGAGGACAGGAAATTGAATTTATGTAGACCAGGTATTGTTACACAATAATAAACTTGCTGAAATAAATAAGCTGATTTTTAAAATCCACTATTTTGTCCTCCTATGTAAATAATTAGCTTATTAAAAAAAACTCTATGTATAAGTTCAAGCCCTCCTTAGAGTTTACTCCCAAACTGAGGCAGAACTAGCATGAGGTGAGTTACTGAGGCGCCTATGACACCCATGTTAAGGAAACACTTACTCTCAATGTCCTATGAAGTTCTATAGGCAGAGTACCTGAGAGTGAGTTTCACTTCAAATTCCTTCAGAGGTATCTGCTTACCTTGCCCTGGTCCCAGACCTGTGATTGGTCAGGTCATCAAAGCCCCTCTCTGACATCATAGTAAATGGTATAGCTACTTACCTAAAGCACAGTTTGGGTTGTTGTTCAAGAGCCTAAAGAGAAAGAAACCTCAGGCCACATCTCTCAACCCAAGGTAGGCTGTAGGCAAAAGGTCTATACAAACTCAACCATGCCAATGGCTGAGGGCCCAGGGCAGAAGAGGGTGGAGCAGACTCTAAAGGATCTCTGGGCAGGCAAGGCCTGCAAAGATGGTAAGGGAGGGAGAGGCAGCAGAGGCAGGGACTGGGGCAGCTCCTCTAGCCACCTGGAGCCTAGGGCTACTGGCCCTGAGAACCTGCTTTTGACTTTACATTAAAAAACAGAGTGATTGTGCAGTGACTGGTCATGGTGGATCAAAAATAAAGGATATCCAGAGTGTGACAAACACCAAAATGCAGATCATAAGGGGTGATCCCAACCCAGAGGAAAAAATTTTGGACAGCAAGGAGATAAAAGCCAAGGCCAAAGCAGCCATACAAACTGTTGTTAAAACCAAAAAACAAGAAACAAATTACAGTTCAGAATACAGTGTTGATAATGCTGCATCCTGACCCTCTGTTGGAAGAGACTTAATCAGAGACATCATCGTTTGAGAAGTCTGGCCACTGACAGACTGGGATCAAATGGAGGCAGAAGTTGCAGGCTGAGAACAAAAGACAATAGGCAGATTCGCCACCAATTAAAGATAAACTTTTACATAGAATCTGAAGCAACAAGTTCACTGTATCAAGTGGAGGTGGACATCTGGAGAAAGGAAAATTTCAATGTAATGTGTTATGACTTGAAAGTTGGCGAAGAACATGCTATCCCAAACCCAGTTTGTAAATTCGAAGATGCTTTCCAGAATTATCCTGACTTGATGAAAAATATTTAAAAATCAGGATTTCAAAAGCCAACACCAATTCAATCATAGGCATGACCAATTGTTCTACAAGGGATAGATCTTATAGTAGTTGCCCCAACCAGAACAGGCAAAACACTGTCTTATTTATTGCCTAGGTTTATTCACATCAGTTCCCAACCAACACCTAAAAGACAAAGGAATGGTCCTGGCCTGTTAGTCCTTACACCAAAAAGAAAATTGCCTCTTCCAGTGCAAAGTGAATGTTCTAAGTATTCATATAAAAGTCTTAAAAGAATTTGTACATATGGTGGTACAGATCGAAAAGAACAAGTAAAAAACATCACCCAAGGCATAGACATCATTATTGCAACTCCGGGGTAACTGAAATGAATAACTTTGTCAACCTAAAAAGCATCACTTACTTGGTCTTAGATGAAGCTGATAAAATGCTAGATCTGGGATTTGAACAGCAGATAATGAAGAGTTTATTAGATGTGCAGCAGACATGCACAATCTTATTTGAAAAAGCCTATGATTGTTCCTGTTGGTTCTCTGGATTTAGTTGCTGTAAATACAGTGAAGCAAAATACAATTGTTACTACAGAAGAAGAAAAACGATCTCTTGTCCAAGAATTCCCATACCACCTATCGTCTGGAGACAAAGTCAGCGTGTTTATTAGCAGAAAACTTGTTGCTGATGACTTATCTAGCAATATAAGCATCCAAGGCCTATCTACAATCACTGCTTGGAAACAGAGAACAGAGTGGCCGAGAGCATGTCACCAGATAACTGTAAAAGTCGAAGTGTGACAGTACTGATTGCTACTGATTTAGCATCCTGAGGTCCGGATGTTAATGTCACAAATGTATGTAATTACAATTTCCCATAGAATATTAAAGAATATGTACATAGAGGAAGGCATACTGGAAGAGCAGGGAAGACTGGCATATCCATTACTACTGTGACTAGAAACGACTGGAAGATTGCCCCTGAATTAATTAAAATTTTGGAAACAGCAAATCAAAGTATTCCTGAAGCTCTTGTAACCATGGCTGAACAATAAAGTGAACAAATAAAGGACACAGGAGAAAAATCAAATATATCTCAAAGAAAACCCAAGGAGTCTAATTGAGATGTACATTGAAAACACTTGTACTAGACAATTGGACGATTCAAGATATATTAAAGATATCCAGTATCCAAGACACATACGGAAGTATTGGAAACATACTGGCGGTTTGAATACAACCAATTCTTAAATAATACCATTAAGCTTTAAATACTGTGCACTCTCCCTGGATGGTATAGCTCAGTGGATTGAGTGCTGGACTACAAACCAAAGGGTTGCTGGTTTGGTTCCCAGTCGGGGCATATGCCTGGGTTCAGGCCAGGTCCCCAGTACAGGGAGCATGAGAGGCAACCACACATTGATGTTTCTCTCCTTCTCTTTCTCTCGCCCTTCCCCTCTCTCTAAAAATAAATAAAATCTAATAAATAAATAAATAAATGAATGAATGAATGAATGAATACCATGCACTCTCCTCGATATAGTCAACACTGTTTTGAAAATGTGAGAGAGAGAGATTATGTAGGGGGGAAAATAGATGTTATGCATTGGTTAAAGTTTAGATTCTATTATACGCTGCCATGCACATCTGTGTCTTCTCTACAGACTTAGTGGTAGATAACAATGGTGCTTTCCTTGCTTTAAAATGCTTGTACTAAATTGAAAGAGTTTTCATCAAGCTTGTCACAGTTCAAATATTCCACTTGCAGCCAGTGGTCAGTGCCACAGCCATCCCTACAAATATCTCCATGATAATTGCCTGTCTATTTTAATTCAAAGAAAATAACAGTGAAATCTAGAAGATTCCAGAATTCTATCAGTTTTTGATAGATGTGACTAACAGAGCAGGGTGTCTAACTCAGTGGGTATCAGATGCTCATACAAAGTCTGTTACTAACGATTGGTTAAAAATTTGGGGGTGCTCACTTGCCTTCAGAGGTCTCACTTTCTTCATTAATAAATTTGGATGGTAATATTAAGCAATTTGGGGTTCTCCTTCCCCTCTAAATTCTATGATATTACAACCAAAATCATGTATCCCAGCCTTATATAAATACTTTATTTTCTAATCTAGGGAAAAAGCAAGTCCTTGTGTAAAAAACTGAACAATGAAAACACTTTTTAATAACCAGAATAGTGCATTTTGCTTTTCTATTGATTTTTATGATGTGACTCACAGGTTGTCTATTTTCTTTTCATCAGATTTTATTTTGCAGTTTATCTTGAAAAGGTCAAAACCAGATATATACTTCAGGTGAATAAAAGGAAAGAAAAATATGTCTTATATACTGGGTAAAACAGAAAACACAATCAAATGACACTTTTGCCATAGGAACCCATTTTAGCAAATCTCCAAATTTATAATTCTATCTCTTATGCCTTCTTACATGCAATATGCACCTCCTTACATTGCAAAAAGAAACCCTCACAATAATGCTAAATTTTAAAATTCGGTGTTTTTTAAGAACATTAAAATTAACTCAGCCTCAATACTTCTGGTGAAATGAAAAAAAATTAATGCAACGATCTTTTTTCCCAGCATGCCTCAGCTGTGACCACAAAAGGAAGTCCGAAATTAAGTGAACTACACAGGCAAACACTGGAAGTGTTTGAGGTTTAAAGTCTGGTTTCAAAGGTTCTTTAATATAGGCCTCAATATCTCTTGATAAAATTAATAACAATAGCTAACATTTTTTAGTGTTTTTGTTTATAATCTATAATCTATTTAAAAACTCACTGAAAAGATAATCTTATCCCCTTTTTGCAGAGGATGAAACAAGGTCAGCAGAACTAACTTACCTAAGGTCCAAGACAATATGTTTGTCTTAAGGTTGCCCACATGTTCAGAGTTAGTGAAACAGAGAGGTATGTGCAAATTTACTCTAATGCAAAGCAGTCTGTGGCCTAACCTGTGGCAGCAGCTCAAGTGGCCTGTTTCTGTTCACCCAGAGGAGAAATGATAGATGTTTAGCAAGTTGGAATATATGTTGTTCGCCAGAACTCCTCCTTAAGACAAGGAGTATTTGTTAGAGAGAAAAAAAAATGTAACAATGAAGCCACTTGAGACAGACCGTGAGGTTCCTCAACCATGTTCAACAAACAACAAAAATTATCACTCAATGTCTTGTCTATGAGTAAGAAAGGGAGAGAAGCATACATTTTTTTCTCAAAGAAAAGGCAGAAAAGACTTATACTGTAAGGGGATATATAAGTAAAGGTAGAACAGTGGTTCTCAACTAGGGCTATTTTTGCCCCCTTCCAGTTGTTTAACAACGAGTGGAGACAGTGATGGTTTGTTCAGCTACAGGGGGTAGAGATGCGGTGGCAAGGTGCTACTGGCACTAAGGAAGTAGAGACCAAGGATGCTGCTAAACAGACAGCCCCAAACAACAAAGAATTATTTGGCCCAAAACATCAACAGTGCTGAGATGGAGAATCCATGAGAGAGCAAAGGCAGAACAAAACTAGATACACAGTAACCAAGAAAGGACTTCAGAGGACAGAATAGAGGATTTTTAAATTATATCTCATGGGTGATACAGAGTAAAATCTGACCACCTTCCTATTTGATTTCATCTATTATCAGTGGTTCTCCACCAGGACCAATTTGACCAGTGTCTGGACACAGATTTTGTTGTCACAACTCAGGGAAAGGGTGTTGGTATATCCTGGGAAGAGTCCAGTAGTTAGTGCTACTAAACAGCACAGGACAAAACCTCGAAACAAATAATTACATGGAGGTCAGTACTGCTATAGTTGAGAAACCTTGCAAAGGATTAAGCACAAAGCCCTCTGCGACCCAAATTCAATTGCAGAGAAACCAAGAAGGAAGTTCAGCGAGGAAAACAAAAGGAGGATGTTTATTTCTTCTGCACTGTTCTATGTAAAACCCTCCACCAACTTGCCAGTCTTTGTTATATACTATATCAATGAGTTTGAAAGGTAATTTTACATTCTAGGATACATCTGGCAATGTTTGTGGACATTTTTGATTGTCCTACTGAAGCAGTAGGATTGCTACTAGTATCCAGTAGTGAATTGAGGTTAGGGATGAACATCTTACAATGCACAGGGCAGCACCCTACAAGAATGGATTTTTCAGCCTAAAATGTCTATGGTATTGAGGTCAAGAAACTGTGGTTTACATTACTCAACAAAGTTTTTGTGAGTGAAATGCTTTTTAGGAACTCGAAGAAATACTGAGTTATGCATCCAAATCGGAACAGTGTGACTACAGGGCACCAAGCATTCTTTGACAAGGGAGATGAAGTATGAGGATTCGGCTGACATCAGAGAGTCATTGCTCTAAAATGCTTAGCATGGTGATTCACATCCAGTAGATACCCAACAAATGTTAGATCCCTTCTGCCCTACCTCTTCCGTCACCCATTATATAATCCTTCGTCACAGTTCTGGAAGCTGTTACTCACATTCTTTCCCCCAGTTGGAATGCTCTTTATCCTTCCTCTCTCCCTAGTCAAATCAGATCCATCATTCTGGGTCCAGCCAAAGTGCCACATCTTCCCTAAGATCCTATCTGGTCTCCTCCATTTCAAAATTCCTATAGGTCCGGTTATCTACCAATAATGTTGACTTCTGTACTGTACTAGTTTGCATTCCTACAGAGACAATTTTGAAAACTTCAAATCAATTGCATTATCAAATATTTAAATTCATTATAAAAATGTAACAATTAAAATCCTATAATCCTGCATGATTGACGAATTGTAAGAGAACTGTCTAGAGCTAAATCTGCATAAAAACCTGTATACAATAAAATAGAATTTTTAAATTCAATGAAGAAAGGAAAGACTATTCCAAAACAAGTTTACAATTAAAAAATATATATAATACATACATTAACGCATACCAGGGCAAGTGATTAACCATAAAACTCCTATTTAAAATCCCCACTAGATTCTTGCTTTTTAAAAAAATGTAAAACACTTGAAGTTCATATAGGAAAATAATTTCTGATATTAAAGTGAGAGAAAATGTAAACATACAAGCACCCATAGAAAATTTAAAGGTAAGTAGTAATAAGTTTAACAATGTAAAAATGAAATACTGGAAATATCATAAAAGACAAAGGAAACACCATAAAAGTAATCCAAAATATATAACAAAATCCTAGTTATTTACTTAACATGCATGTATTTCTACAAAGAAAAAATAAAAATTAATTCCAAAATAGATATATGGGCAGAAATGTGAAAAGTAATTCACCAAATGGACAAATAAGTTAACAATAAATATGTGAAAAGTGCTTAACTTCTTCATAATCAAGGGAATGAAAATTCACCCAATGACCTAACTTTTTTTAATAGTGAATTTGGCTGTGATTCCAGAAAAACTGCAAATAGCTAAAACTAGTAAGGATACAGGGAAAAAATACTGATAAATTATAATTTGGTAAATTATATTCCTTGGAAGGAAAAGTTGAAGTTGCATATAACATCTCTATACATTTCATAGACTTGGATCCAGTAATATCACTTCCAGACATTTACCATAAGCAAGATATATGTATATCTTGGTATGTGTATATGACTATCTTGGAGTGTGTGTATATACATTTATATATGATATATATATATAGGATAAATAGCCATACACACACACACACACACACACACACACACACACAAGGCTATTTATCACATGGTTACTAAAAATAATATTATAGGGGAAAAAACCCTCAATGTTCAATAATAGGGTATTAGTTAAATAAACTGCAGTGTATCTATTGCCATTTTGGAATAGCAGAAATCATGTTCTTAAAGAATATTTAAATGTATGAGAGAAATTCATTTATGAAATTATCTTTTTTGTTTCTAAAAAATTACATTGGTTCATAAATCCATACAGAAAACAAGTGAGACGGACACACATAGACACACATTGATGATAGCCACCGTTTTCTACATTATGTGATTAAAGGTATATTTATTTTTATTGAATTTATTGGGGTGACATGAATAAAATTATGTAGGTAT